GTGCGCAGGGAGCTCTACGCACAGTGCTTCGGTCAGTGCCCGCCCCGCCCCGCGAGCCGTAAAGCTCCCCAAAGTTGTACCTAAGCCGGCCGTTAGCTTAAAACGGCTTGAGCCCCCGTGTAACTGTCCAGCACCTGTGTAACTGCTCAGCACCCTTACACGCCCTGGTGATGTGGTGCTGCGGTTGACATCAGTCTGAACACGATGCTGCTGAAGGCCTCCAGTGACCTGCAGAAAATCATTATAGGCTTTCAGGTGGCTGCTGTGACAACTTCAGCAGCTCAGAGTCGTTGCTGTTACCACAGGGTCTGTACCACTACTCTGTTTTTAACTCCAGCACTTGGCCCTACAGCTGTCACGTAAGGACAGCCCCAAGCCATGTCTCTAGTAAGCCCCTGACACTTGTGCGGTGCAGAGAACAGGTAGGAGAGAAGCAGCTCCGGCCCCGCCGTGCTCCCAGCCACCCCCCGTGACCGTGCAGGAGCTGCTCTCAGGGGCTCGTTCTCCCTTCTGTTAAAGATGAACTGATCCGTGAGGTCACAGTTACCTGTGCAGAGCGAGGGCTGCTGCTGCTGCGCGTCAGGGACGAGCTGCTCATGACGGTCGCCGCCTACCGCGCCCTGTACGAGAGCGGCGCCGCCTTCGGGGCGCGCAAGGCGCTGCAGGCTGAGGAGGGCAAATCCGACATGGAAAAAAGAGTAAGTGGGGCCCTGAACCCCCGCGTGTAGTTTTCTGCCTGCGACACAGCATCAGGGATGTTGCTATAAACGCCCTATGAAATTTGTTATTTCTCTTTCCACTGGGGGGCAGTGCAGCTCATCCAAACACTCCAGTTTCAGGGACTGCACTTCATGAACTATGTGCTGTTTCATCGGGAAAACTTTTAAAAGACTGTACAACCCAACTTTGACCCAGTGTAACTGCAAATTGATTATTAACAAACAACTGAAGATATCTGCTCTTTTTCAAGATTGCAGAGCTAGAGGAGAAAAACCGTGAGCTGGAAAGACAAGTGAGTGAAGAGAAAGCTAAATGTGAAGCCGTTGAAAAACGTGCAAATGAAAAGCGACAGATAGAAGAAAAGCAACACACTGAAGACATTCAGCTCCTCAAAAAAATGAATGAGCAGCTGAAGGTTGGTAAAAAGACCCACAACTCCAAATAGGAACAGTGAAACTTCTCATTTTGTAATTGGATACCACAACTTTCTCCTGATCATTCGAGAAGCGTTACATTCATGATGCATTTGTATTAGTGTGCCACTTTCTTTAAATTCTCAATGAAATGGGCAAATGGGCTTTTTTATTCCCTGTGTCCTTGCTCAGTCAGCAGCTGGTCATCCCCAGTAAACCTGAGGATGCCACCAGCAGTCACACCCACAGGAATGATTTTGTGCGGCTTTGGCCAAAACAAAACGAGCAAAAACTTCTGCTCATTACTTTGCTTTTGAAAGGAAAAAATCCCCCATCTTTTAAGTAAAGACGTTACCATAAACGACATTGAGTGTTTCTGGCTACAGCTAAAAACCTTTCCTTCACACTGAGCTGCTTTCCTTATCCTCGCAGGTCCTGCGGTTTCTCCTTTCCACGCCATTAACTTCTTAAGTCCCATCTTGAAATGCTTTAGGGCACAAACTAAAAGAACTGATAGATAAAGTGTTGCCGCTGAATCGGGCTCCCCCCTGGCGGGAGCAGCGGCTCCACCCGCTGCTCGAGGGTATTCTGGTGGCAGCTGGAGCAGCACCCTGAGGCTGCAGCAGGACAGGCTCCCGGGAGCTCTCCCACCACTCTGCTGATGGGGCGTCGAGTGGAAACGGAAACCTGGCTGTTCCCATCTACTTCTGTCCCAGAGTCAGAGTTTGTGTTCTGAACGCTGGAGAGACAAATATTTAATTTAGCTAACACAGTCCAGCCTGAAATCGGAGCACTCAGACCACTGTTTCAACAGCTTTTATTTAATTTCCTCCTCCTGCTTTACATTACAAAACCAGTCTTTCGTTTTATGGAACCAGGGCCAGCTCTTTTCTTTTCAGAATGCAACAAGTGTGTACGCCAGGAATGAAAAGCTAATTTATAAAACATGCAGTGAGGAATGGGGTAGCTCAGGAAAAAAATACCCTGGCCTGTTTCTCTCGAAGTATTGCAGCATCCCTCAGCTTCTCGCTTTGAGTATCTAACAGGCAATTTATCACTTTACAGCAACATGGGTTTATTTGTTAGGTTGAATCTAATTTGACTTCCTGTCTCATTTGTTTTTCAGGCACAACTTGAAAGCATCATTGCACCAAATAAGTAATTTTTTGGTTGTGCTCCAGGCAGTGCTCAGAAGAGCTGTCAGAGCAAGAAGTTTGCAATTAGTGAAAAAGATTTGTCTTCATAAAACCCTCTTGACTTTCCACTTACCGGTAACTGAAGACAGCATTATTTCATTCTTTCTTTCTTTTTCTCTTGAAGAGATGAAATTCAAGAGCTTCATTAGTTGCTGTGTTCATTTCAGTGCCACCTCAGCATTCCGCTCCTCGGATAGCGAACCTCTGTTACTGGTCTGCTGGGAGAGCCAGATGACCTTCAAAGCAATAAACTAGTAAACATTTATATCTGCAAGCATCTCAGTAACATTATTGCTTTGAAAATGTTGTAGGAATTCAGAAACAATACACAAAGTGTATAATCACATGCCAAATACATTATTATACATAATTCACTCAGAGGTTGCTGGTAATTCTGGGACAAGTGTTCGGAGGGTGTTCCTTGAGTACAGGCAAGTTGGTGTTAACGGTACATCAGAACCCCTTGTCTGAGCCATAGCAGCCTCGTTTGAGCAGCAGTAGGAACTCCCTGCATGGTTATTTCCAGTGACAGAGGGGTACAGCACCAGCCAGGCTCCATGCCAAGCACCCCTTCTCAGTGGAAGCAAGATCGTTACATAAGGGAGCTGCGTAACTAACTAGCTGTGTAAGGAGCTGTGCAGCTACTAGCTGTGTAAGGAGCTGTGCAGCTAACTAGCTGTGTAAGGAGCTGTGCAGCTAACTAGCATGGAGAAGCTCATTCACTGCAGTCATAGGAAAAACTCCATAAAGCTTGTTTCCAGAAAAAAAACACCAAACCAAACATCCCAACGAACCCCCCCACCGAGCAGCACTCTGGGATAAGCTTTGCCAGCCCAGTGTTTACTGGCCTTAGACAGGGATGTGGAAATACCACGATCTCCAACTGCACAAAGAACTTTCAGATGATGCGGAAACAAAGAGCGAGATGCTGCTCCTGGGAGCTGGACAGGCGAGTCAAACCAGGCTTTCAATGGGAACTACAAGTTTTATATTAAAAAAAGCCACCACATACTAGAGCTGTTTTATGTAAAATTTAATAGAATAAGCAGTTATTGCTTATGTTTGTATTTTTTGTGCTTTGATCTTTGTTCCTCCAAGCCAGTTTTTTTCTTGTTCTTATTCTTATTTTTCACGTTGTGAGTTTCATAATACCGGACTCCGACTCTCTTGGAGCGCTGCTGCCTCTCCGCTCGTCTCCTCTGCAAAGGCACAAGAGCATATGAGCAACTCCACAGCACCCACAGCCCCAGCTTGTTTGCATTCTTTCAAAACTTGTTCACTTTGCCTTCCATATGCCTTAAGTAAAATAAATCCTATCAAACAAAACTGTACTGATGTGAATAAATGGACATCTGCATGGAATCCACCCACCCACACTCTCAGAATGTTACCAAGGAAGATCCACTTTAATCTTTACAAAAGTAGTAAACGAGATACAAGCACCCTGATGTCACGGTCACATAAGGTCTTTAACAGAAGATGTGACAGAACAGGCACAAACAGGTTTCAGCCTTCTGCTGCCCTCTGACAGTCCCAAGTTGACAGCAGTGCTCCCCAGAGCCCCTGCTGTACAGGTTTGCTTACGAATCACTTTCACTTGGTATTTAAGTTATTCTAGAAGAATTGTTTAGACTCAACCAACACAGATGGCAGCAGCAGCTCTCTTTGAAGCCAGAGCAGCACGGCCCCCCCAGCTCCCAGCCTGCCCACCTCCCAGCACTCAGCCCTCTGCTCTCAGCAGCATCAGTGGGCAAGTGAATGCCAAATGTGTTGCCCACAGAGGATCCTCCCCTTCAAAGCTCCCTCTGCTGTGGTCACCTGCTGGGCTCCTGTACAGGTCCGTGCTCAGCAGGGAGGTGTCACTGCCACAGCCTGCGCCAGCAGCAGGTCACCCTGTCCTGACACTCACCCCCTCGGCCACAGCCCCTGCCCTCCCTCCCTCCCACGAGGGCCCCATCCCAAAGCTCTTCAGTGACAGCACATCATGTAAAAACTCCACGTGTAAGAAAAGCCAGCTGTCACCCTGCTCCTTTGTGTACTACAAGGAATCACACTTACTTCTTTGGATGTAAGTTTCTTGCAAGGCTGTTCATCATCATCATCATCACCTTCCTCCCCCGCCTGCCTTTTCCTTTTCTTCTCTGTGGTGCCTGCAAACAGCAGAGATGTCTGTACTTGGGCACCTTCCAAAACACCCATCTGTTCACAGAACTGAGTACTGGGGTCCCCACCCAGCTCCCTCAGCAGAGCACTCCTTCGGTCGTTACCAGGACTGACAGTCCTTACCAGTCACCCCAGTGAACCCCACAGCCTGAAGCTGCTGTCCCTGTGTAATGCCAAACCCTGTCTGCTCCCCCTGCAGCACGTGGAGCAGCAGCCACTCAGGCTGCAGCCTGCTGAAGGGCTGGGGTCTAAGCCCCAAGCTCTGCACCAGGGTTGGCACGTGGATGATCCACACAACCAGGCAGCAGAGACCTTCCTTTTGGTTTTCTCTCAAGGCCTGGCCAACCTTGGGTGGGAACCAACTGGGAAATCACCACGAGGTGCCCTGCCTCTAGAGTTAACATCAGGTGCCCTGCCTCGAGGTTAACAGCACTCCAGCTGCTCTGCCTGCAGCGAGTGGGGTTTGCCCGTGTAGGGTTTGCAGTTATTGGAAGGGCTCCCTGACCATTATAAGCAGACCTCCCAGTGATGGTGGGACAACATCACAACCAGGACAGAAAGAGGGTTATGAATGTAATGATGTTGCTTTTTGGCAATTACTACGTGATAGGAATTGGACTCACGACCTGGCTTATTCCTCTTCCCACTCCTTTCTTTGCTTTGTCATACTGTGAGTGAATGTATCAATCTATTTATCCCTCTGGTTGTTAGCCACCTCCTACCCTCCATGTATACTCTGGAAGGGGGTGGAGAGGTCTGGCCTGCATGCTTCCTATCAATGACAGTGTCCCTCCTCCTGGGGCACGCAGTCGAGGCACCCCAGCAGTGCTGTGCTGAACACGCCCGTCCCTGCCAGCAGTGGGACAGATCTCACCCTGCAGGCAGGGGCTCTGCAGAAGGGCTACAGCAAGGTCACCAGGCAGCCCGAGGTTAGCTATGGAAGGATTCAAATAGCTGTAGTGAAAAAGAACTTGCAATTGGGAGCTACTGAACACTTCTGTCCCTAAGCTCCCTCTCATCTCTTGCTTATAGGACTCCCAAATACGGATTACGAACACCTACTAATTGTTTTACCTCTGTCTTCAGTTTCTTTGCGTTCTTCAGACTTCTGCATGGATTTTGCAAACACTTTTTCAGTCAGCTGCTTAGGGATTCTACAAAAGATAAAATAAGCAATAGAAGAATGTTGTAACACTGAGTGTAACCATCTCTGAGAAGTGATCAGCCCTAAGTAGATCCCAGTAGCCTGTCAGCACCAAAGCCACAGCCTTTTCACCTAAAAGCATATGGCTGTAAACTTGTCTCTGGAGTTACAGGGCTTCTGGGCTGCACAAAGGGACAAAATGTAACAGCATTGCAATGTCAGTCCTCCCAAGGCTCGTGGCTGAGCTCTACTACAGCTGGGCCTGCTGTGTGGGCGAGGACACTGGACCATGCCTGGAGACCAGCTGGCGTGTCCAGGTAGGACACTAGCCTTGGTACTACTTAACAAAGGACCCAACGTCAAGGAGATCCAAGGATGTAATACTGCTGCCCAGAATACCAGCAGATTTCTAACCCATAGCTTAAGAGGCAGCTTTCCAAAAGCTAAAGTATCTTTAGTTATGCTGGTAAATAGGACCTAGAATAATCTTTCAAAAACAAACTGCCACTTAACCAAAGCTGTTTATGGCTAAACTAGATAAACTGCAGCAGCTCGTGCAAGACAACACAGAGGAACCAGTCAAGCAAGTCATGAATGGAGTGAAACTACAGCAGAATCACATCAACCTCTCTCCCACCCTGCAACATCTTTAAGTCACTGAACAGATTCAGAGACCTGATTGCTGAGAATCTCTTGGCCTTGGCTTTATCCAGGAATTTTTTGTATTTTGCAATCTTCTCATCCAAAGCCTTAAGAACTGCCTTGGAGCTCTCCCTGGCACCCGGTGCAGCCACTTGCGATTCCTCCGCCACCGAGTCTTGATGTTGCTCATTCTCCTCTTCCTGCTCTTCCTCTCCAGAGGAGTCACTGTCTGTTTCGTCAAAGCCTGGCACATCTACAGGAACCAGGTCTTCTTCTGAAAACTGAGGTGCCACATTAATCCTCCCAAAATTCTGCCGAACATGTGACATGAGCTGCTTGATCTCAGTGTCCGTGTTACTCTTCTCTTCCGCTGGCTCCACACTCGATGCCACTGACTCAGAAGATTTCTCCTCATTATTGTCTTGGCTTGATGTCACAGCTACTGCTGATGCAGGAGGCTACAAGAAAGTGTAATGGAGATATCATCCACAATGTCTGTCCCACCATCCTCAAGCAATCTCCATTTTATCTCTTTGAAAAGACTAAGATGACAGGCTAAAGCTGGGATAATTACTGCCATGTCTGGTAGTTAGACAATCGTAAAGTGGCTCAGACATCTCTGTGAAGAGCATCACTACTCACTCCTCACCAAATTCAAGTGAGCGTCACCTGAATGACAAGGTAGTGCCCAGGACATGTACTGCTCAAGTTACACGGCACTCTGGGAAAAATAACAGTGAATACCATTAGGAAAATGAAGTACTGTGTGAGGAGGCAGGGGCATCACATTCTTACCTGGGGACCTGTTTCTGCATTCGGTGGCTTCACAAAGAAAGGGATCCTGCCTCTCTGCCAGTCATTGAGAACCATTTTGCTCACAGTCTGAATGTCAGGCTCACCACCCTGAAAGAACCCAGCAACAATTTATATCCCTGTCTGCAGGACATACCCCCTTTCTAGCCCCTGTGAGCAACAGAAATGTGTATTGCCCAGTAAGTAGAAGGCTGCGCACTCTTC